CAGCCACCACCATTACCCCTCTGTCCCACTAACCAGCCACCACCATTACCCCTCTGTCCCACTAACCAGCCACCACCATTACCCCTCTGTCCCACTAATCAGCAACCACACCACCATTACCCCTATGTCCCACTAATCAGCCACCACCATTACCTCTCTGTCCAACTAATCAGCCACCACCATTACCCCTCTGTCCCACTAACCAGACACCACCATTACCCCTCTGTCCCACCAACCAGCCACCACCATTACCCCTCTGTCACACTAACCAGCCACCACCATTACCCCTCTGTCGCACTAACCAGCCACCACCATTACCCCTCTGTCGCACTAACCAGCCACCACCATTACCCCTCTGTCCAACTAATCAGCCACCACCATTACCCCTCTGTCCAACTAATCAGCCACCACCCTTACCCCTCTGTCCCACTAACCAGCCATCACCATTACCCCTCTGTCCCACTATCCAGCCACCACCATTACCTCTCTGTCCCGCTAATCAGCCACCACCATTACCCCTCTGTCGCACTAACCAGCCACCACCATTACCCCTCTGTCGCACTAACCAGCCACCACCATTACCCCTCTGTCCCACTATCCAGCCACCATTATCATCTGGTACTCCGGAAATATGCACCAAAATATAAAATACTTGTACATACATTTTGTCTTAAAGAAGGGTATAACAAGGGATTTAATGGTGTATATAGACCCTATGTTATTATTACAATTTAATTGTGTAAAATTGTGATCAATTTCATCTAATATACCCTTATTAATATTTCAGGAAAAAACAAAATCTAGTTAGTTCAATATTTTGGTACAAAAGATGGTTATTTTTATGTATAACTCGTTTGAAAAAAGAAGGATACGACTGTGAAGTAACTAAATACATACAAAGCATTTCATTTCCTCATGACTGTAAAATTAAAATCCTGACATTATATTGTTCTGTATACAGTTCACAAATACGAAAAATTAAAAACCCTCCCATTTTATTGTCCTGTACAAACGGTTAACAAAACACAGAAAGATGATCTGTTGTAAAAAAAAAAAATGCTTCCTGTGGTCTGTGTTTGTGTCCTCAAGCCAAACTTTGGGCTGTATTGACAAACTCCTCTTATTTCATAATCGCATGACCTTGGCTGTTTCCAAGGTCATCTAACCTTGACGAGCAGTTTTATGTAACGTAAAGCACTAACTACTCTGGTTGTGTTCGGTGATTATTGGGTCACACGGAGCACTTCCTTCATAGATCAGTTTTTATCAAGCATTACAAAAAAAAAACAGTAATGGGAATTGTGTGTCATTTCCTTTCCCCTGTCCATGGAGCCTTGTACTTGTATTCCTATTGTGTAAACTGAGGGTGACTTAGAGGTCATATCAATGTCTACCTCTTACTTCACGACAAATAAAGCATATCTTCACTGAGATTCAACAGCTTCCTTACACTAATGACAACTTGCATCCCCTTAAAAAAGGATGTTTATGGATAAAAGGGCGTTTAAAATTTTATCACAACATTTGTTAAAAAACGGCATATTCGCAAATTAATTATATCTAATATTTTAGAAATCTTTTCAAATTTCACTCATATCTCAATTTTCCATTTTTATCTGGAACTTTGAGCATATATGTACACGTCCTTCTGTCGAGGTGACTTATAATGCAACCATGATTTTGATGAACAATACTGTGATACATTTTGATTGACACAAGAAACAAGAAATTGAATATATCATAGGCCCTATTGTACCATTTTCTTTATACAGATAAACTCGGGTCCAGTACTGTATATACATGTATGCTCATAGTACCTTATCAAGGTCAGACAATGTTTATTACTACAACCTTTATGCTACTACAAATATATTGTACTGCGTAGAAACCTCTAGTGTAAACTGTCATTATTATACAAAATGTTAAATCAAATTATGCAAATTTATGATTTTTTTAGGATTCACAGAGTTCTTAATATATATATATATATCTTTATACAGACTAGCAAAAAAAAATTGGTCCTGAAAGAATTGATGTGTGAGATTTCACGTGAGGATTATATTTTTCCTGCTTAGCTTGTTGGGTGTGATCTGTATGCAGCAGACCTACACACAATCTCTGAAATTATGTAATAAGTGTTGTGCTAGATTTTATCAGGATAATGCCCTGGTTTTCTGTTTGTGTTTCTCAAAAAATATTAGAAGTTTTCTTATGACAACTGTGAGCCATGTGTTACAGATTACGTGCCTTGTACAGATATACATCATGTACAATTACACGGATTCTGATTCTTTTTAGTATCACCATGCTATTACACTACCCCATGGCCACCGCTTTCTGAACACGATGGGAAAGATACTGGCAATGTTTTATCAGTAGCTTAACTATGCCGAGTATTTGATTTTATCAGATGTTGACATATAGATAAGATAGGTATATAAACTTTGTACATTACACAATAACAATTTGAGTATTGTGTAGGTAGGTTTTGTAGATGCAAAACAACACCTACAGGTGCATTTTATAAACAAACAAAACTGTGATCCAGTATTTGTTGCTTTTGTATTATTTGAAGCAAATAGCTGAGTGGGATAACTTACATCATGTTATAATCAATGTAAATACGTAGTGTATATACGGAAACAATGTAAATATGTACTGTATACAGGGAAATAATGTAAATATGTACTGTATACAGGGAAATAATGTAAATACGTAGTGTATATACGGAAACAATGTAAATACGTACTGTATACAGGAAAATAATGTAAATATGTACTGTATACAGGGAAATAATGTAAATATGTACTGTTTACAGGGAAATAATGTAAATACGTAGTGTATATATGGAAACAATGTAAATACGTACTGTATACAGGGAAATAATGTAAATATGTACTGTATACAGGGAAATAATGTAAATACGTAGTGTATATACGGAAACAATGTAAATACGTACTGTATACAGGGAAATAATGTAAATATGTTCTGAATACAGGGAAATATTGTAAATATGTACTGTATACAAGGAAACAATGTAAATATGTACTGTATACACAGAAACAATGTAAATATGTACTGTATACAGGGAAATATTGTAAATATGTACTGTATACACAGATTTTACCAGCATAGGGCGAAAGGTTCTCATATACAGTAATTAATAAAATTTAATGAATGCTCGTAGCCCGTTTTAATGTGTGTTTCTTTTATTTGTGTATTTATAGGTCAATCTCCAGAGAGGGACGGACAAAATCAAAATGAAAGCAACCCTGTCAACGTACGGATATCCTCCTTACAAAAACAGTTTGATATAGAAAATAAGGTAAGTGGCCTGAGTGATGGTTTAGTTGAGATAAAAATGTTTCATTAGCCAGAGTCCTGGAGAGAAGACTCTGTATGTCAAAAAAAAAGATTATACAAACTGTCCATATATAGGGGTCAAAGTTCTGTCCATTTCCAATTAAAAACCGGGCTATTTTGCCTAATTTTGTTTATTTTTAACATATTTAATAACTTGTATTTCAATGACAATGCAACAGTAATCTTTTTGATTATACTTTTTAAGATAATTGAACTTTTGACATTAAAACAGGACTTTTCTCAAAATACCTGGCAAAATCTCTGTCAATACAATGTGCTATTAATGTACATGCAATGCAATAGCTTAGTGACCTTCATGGAGGGCACTAATATGATTTCTACCACAATACGCTGTGTTATTCAACTCTCAGATCATTGTATAAACATGCAGACAGTTGAATAAGTATGAGTTATACATCACACGTGGTATATGACCTTCCATAGTTTTGATTGGTCGAGAAGATGAACTTTGACCGGACGATTTTTTTCACACGCTTTTGCCGCATGCTGTTTTGTTTACGTCGTCTGCTGTTAACATCCGTCAAATGTTGGTGACCTTTGTGAGGTTATGCGATGGGAAAAAGGGGTTATGAAGGCAGTACCAAAAGAAGATGATGCTTAAAGATTTGATCGCTTGTTTCTGGCAAAATTGCTACATACGCTCGATATCGTTTCGACGTCATACCGTCGTGAAACCCAGAGACGTAATATATCGATATATGTCTCTTCTCGTTAGATAATTTTCAAAAGTTACAGAAAGACACTCGCTAAAGCTTTTGTCTTTTGTAACTTCAGAAAATTAACTAACTCGAGTGAAATAAATACCATATTCAACAACCACTGGTTGTGTAACCTATTAACGTATGGAAGGAGGTTATATTTTTAGAAGTAAGCTTAAGGCTATAACATTGTAAAGGTGAATTGTAATGTTAAAAAAATCTATTTATTTACTTTAAACTTGTCTGCAATTATAATTTTCTGATTAACCGTTGAAAGTCATGCTTTTTGTTTGACGTTTTCCAGGTAAAACAAGGGGCGGAGAACATGATTGGGATGTACAGTGCTGGGACATTTAAGGATAAAAAGATGTTGGCAGAGGCTCAGCAGATGTTAAGTGATGCCAAAACGAAAATGGAGATCATTCGCATGCAGATGTTGAAAGTCACTCAGGATGCTACAACATCAAATGTGGATGGTAAGTTTATTGACTTGGTTGGAGTGTTACTGTGTCAATCAATGGTACTGTAAGTTTATTTCTCACTGAGAAAGGAAATTAAGACTTATAAGAAGTATAAGATGTCGATTTCTAGCCGAAATCGACATACATTTTGTGGACAACTGTACCCATTTTACACCTTTGTGTGCATACCCTTCACTTGTCATTTGTCTGATGAAGGCGACAGTGTACATATCGTACTAGTCATCGAAACTTCACATAGAACATTTTATTGGTTGTGTATAAAGAACTTCTCATAATCCATACTTACCAAACTGAGGAATATGTTTAGAAATAAGCCTTTATCAGAGTTAACCTGCCGTGTAGATTTTTGAATTGTTATAACGATGCTACAAATCATTTTGAATTGTGTTGAAAATGTATTAGATTTATCAAACCATCATTACTGATTTTCTTGAGTGAGTTACCTTGATGTTTTGAGAGAATGATGAAAGTTCCGACATATTTTGTTGGAGAAATTGACTTACATGTATTTGATTAACGGGTATTATGTTGTAATCAGTATTCCCACTGAATTTTAGATTCGGCGGTATATTTGATACATTTTCAGGATTCTGTACCCCGTAGGTACTTAGGTAAGGCAATTGTTGAAAACTTGGGGTACAACCAACTGTTTTGGGGGTGAAAAACTCGCGTTTTGGGGTTTCTGGTAACACTGGTAATATGTTCTGTGACTTGATAAGGATGTCTGTTTGCAGTGACCCAGCAATGTGAGGTGTTATCTCCCCTTGAGTTACGGATAGAGGAGTTAAGACATCACATGAAGATTGAATCGGCTGTGTTGGAGGGTGCCAAAAACGCTCTCCGGCTACTACAAATGTCCAAGTCTCCGGACAGCAAAGCTGTCAAAGAGGTAATAGCACTGACGTACTGACCAAACAAAATGAAACCAAACTGACCACACATCTAAACACTTCTGAGATACAACAAATCTGAACTAGACAAGCAAGACAGATACTTTAATAAGCACCACTGTCATATCAATGAGAAACACAGTTTGAGAAAATTTGATAGTGTATGAAGATATTAAATAGTTCTGACCTAGTTTTAAAACACTAAAATCATGAAAGCATTATTTAATTTTATATAATAGGAACAGATAACATTTTATGTCTACACAAGAATATCAAGTTTTTATTTAACTTCTGTTTAAAAATTCCCATCTTTATATTTCAGGCACAATCTAGTTATACGGAATCCAACCAGAAATATGAACTTTTACGAATCTCATTAGAAAAACGAATTGTCGAGCTTGACCCGACGTCAACCAAACTACAACTGCTGAAAGAGGAGTTAAATGTAGCCACACCAACAATATATCCTCCCAAGGACAAAAAGAATCAAAATTCCTCCCCTTTCTCTAAGTCTGCTGCTATTACAGGAAAGTTAGAAGTCAGGTAAGCTGTCAGTTATCTTAATTTCAAATTTGATTTAATCAGTTTTCTTGCTCATATACATGGATATATTGTTTGTCTTGATTAAACTTTTCTTTAATCAGATCAAAGGATTTTTTTCCAAAACAATTTGTAAATAAAAAAAATCCAACTCTTTTAATATAAATTTCTGCAGAAATTTTTGCACAGAAGGACTTCATTTAAATTCTATAAGCATAAGCATATGATAAGGCAAAAAATAATTATGCTAATAATTGACAGAGAATAAGGAAAGACAACTCTGGGGAGAGATTGGTCCCGCTCTGATTTTAGTCATGACCCATGTTAACAAGGTTAATGCTAGAGATGTTTCCTCAAGATGTGAGTCCTCTCCTCATCAACTTAGATTGCCCCTGTGGATTACATACCTGCCAACTCTCCTGATTTTGGAGCCTAAAATCAAGCATTTTCAACCAGTGAATTTGCTAAACTGTTCCTATATTCTAACATCCAATGATTTCATCTTAAAGAACAGCTCAAAAGATGCCATTTAAAAGTGTTGTCCTTCCCCTAGGGTGTACATGCACACATTTTATTTATGCTTTTAATTCTGAGCACGCATTATCTCCCCCATGGAAATTTCAAAAAGTTGGCCAGTAATGTGATTAGAGTGATGTCCCCTCTAACCTGAGTGATGTCCCTTGTAGGTTGGTGGGCTGTCAGGGCCTAGTGGAGGACATACCTGGCCGTAAAAAGGAGAAGGATAATCTACAATTACTATTGTCAAGTCCAGGGGAGAGCAAGAGTCTACTACGCAGGTCAACAAAAACATACAACGTTAAGGAAGATTTGTCAAGTAAGTTGTCTCATAATGCCACCAGAAAGATGTAAGATGATGAAAATGTATTCCATCTTTTTGCTTGAAACAGATATTGTTGACATTTAGCCGTGAATATAACTCTTGTATATGTTTAGATGAGGTGATGGCTGTGCTCAAACTAGATAATGTCCAGGTGGGCCAGACAGCGTGGAAGTCCTGTAGTCAGCAATGCTGGGACCATCGCACTAGTATAGACTTAGACCGGGTAAGTGAATCCACAGAGCTGGGCTTTATTTCTCTTGAAGATTTTAATTTGATTATACTAATGTGTGAACCTCAGTTTTTATGTAGCTTGAAAAAAAAACAAGTTAAGTTTTCAAGGATTTGTTTAATTGGCAAAACTGTTTCTTGTTGCTGTGATGATATCTTATAGGATCTCCAAGTTATCATCAGGCCATGTGTAGAGCTGATGTTAAATGTTATAAATGACCAGTATATTATGATGACTTATGTAAGCTATACAAGAACTATATGATTGGCTGTGATGATGAGCTTTGCTGGTCTTCCTCTGTTCCAGTCTAGAGAATTAGAAATTGTGATTTACTGGAAGGACTGGCGACAGATGTGTGCGGTCAAGTTTCTACGGCTGGAGGATTTCCTCGACAACCAGCGACATGGCATGGCAATCCACATGGAGCCTCAGGGAATACAATTTGCAGAGGCAAGCAATTTTTTTTTTGAAAGTTCGGCTATCTTGTGAGATTTTCATCATAGCCTTACAGACTTGGCTTGATTTGTAGACCAGCGAAGAAACTGGCTAGACTGAGGCATCACTCGATAGAGATCATTTTCTTTTACCCTGGACAGGTTTATCCACACTTCTACTGGTGTGAGATATCCTTGTCTCACCCTAGGGTTGAGACGGGGGGATTTCCCTATGCATAACAATGGTATGACATCACGTCAACAATCCATCATAGTCATGTCAATCTTGAATTTAGCCTGTAATGTTAACATTACATTATGTTATGATATGCAATGGGTGAACAGGGTTAGAGAAAAAGAAACATTCACCCCCTTGTGGGTGAGATGGGGGAATCTCAACCCTCGGGGAAAAATTGTTAAGTTGCCAAACACTCGGTAAAGCCTCATGTTTGGCAACTTAAGAATCTTCCCCCTCGGCTTGAGATTCTATTTATCGCGGACATATTTGATATGATCATTGAGCTGTCCAGACCATATGACTAAAAATCTCAGTTTAAACCAGCATACAGCACAATAACCACAGCCATATTGTAAAAATATTTAGGGAAATTTTAACTGCATATTCTTCAAGTGTCCTATAAAATAAGAACTTTGTGACAGGTAGATGTCCGATGTTTTAAGTATGGCTCATTATAGCCTTCAAATTTATATAGATCTTAGATGTACAGGTAAATATAGACATTGTAGAATGTAATAAATGCATACCCGGTATGTGAAAATATAATTTGGTATCTCTTCAAAAATGTATAAAAGAGCCTTTCTAATGAGCCTTCATGATAATATCAAATTAAATAATGAGTTCAAATTGATAATTTTTGTCTCCCCGCCACAAAGTAGTGGAAGCAAGACTGAGGTGTTATTTTTCTGGCAGCAACGTCAACATTCAGTTTTTAGCTCACCTGGCACGAAGTGCCAAGTGAGCTTATGCCGTGGTGCGGCGTCCTTCGTCCGTCCGTCGTCCGTCCGGCGTCCGGCGTCAATATTTTACTTTAAACGACTTCTTCTTAATAACCGAAAGGCCTAGGGTGATGATATTTGGCCAGCAGCAAACTGGGATGAAGGGCTACCAAGTTTGTTCAAATAAATGACCTTCATCTATTTTCAAGGTCACAGGGGTCAAATATGTTGAAAACTTTAAACAACTTCTTCTCAATAACCAAGCTGCCCAGGGAGATGATATTTGGTCAGTAGCATGCTAGGGTGAAGGGCTACCAAGTTTGTTCAAATGAATGACCTTCAATTATATTCAAGGTCACAGGGGTCAATTGTCTTAAAAAACCTTTAAATAACTTCTTCTGAATAACCAAAATGCCCTGGGTGATGATATTTGGC